TCACTGGAGCAAGCAAACCTCCTGTTCGCTTCAGCTGCCTGGCTGCCAGCCGCCATCTTGGTTGGCAGTTAATTTGCATATCGCCCTGATTAGCCAATGGGAAGCATGTCGGAGGTACGGTTAATTACCTTATTTGTCTTTTATTAGATTAGATGAATCCTGATCTTATACAGCTGTTAATGATGGAAGAAAATGAAATTGAAATTTGATTCCTAATCTAACACATAAAAAAGTGGGATAAATCAATGTGATCAATGTGAAAAATAACTTAAATTCCTACTCATACTTTTATGGCAAGAAGATAAAGACAGGCTATTATCACCACATGCCTGGGAGTGGTTCAATGGAAGATTCCAGCAAGGCATTCCCTGAGTAGAAGGACAATGAACCATCCTTTGTTAAAGCCATTAGGAGGCTGTTAAGGTCTTCTGCCCCTGGGTTAATGTGCCTAAACAAAGAATCCCTTAATACAACATACACAGTTGGTGACTTAGCATCTATCAACTGCCTCCAGCAAGCCCCCTATGAGGATGGAGCCAGCAACTAGAACATGTGTCCTGACCAGAAATAGAACTGGCAGCCTTTCAGTGCAGAGGACAATGCCCAACCAACTGAGCCATCCCAGCCAGGGCTCTGTACTGTTATTTAACTTCTAGAAATCCTTCCTAAGAAAATGATTCAACTAGAGAAAAAGTTATAGGCATAAATTTGTTCATCACAGCATTATTTATAATCACACAAAATTGTAAACAACCTAAATGCCCTATAATAATGGAATCATTAAGTAGATGATGGGCCATTCATTGAGGGAATTTTATTCTGCCTTTAAAAGTTACTATTAGCCCTGACCGGTTTGGCTCAATGGATAGAGCACCGACCTGTGGACTGAAGGGTCTCAGGTTCGATTCCAGTCAAGGGCATGTACCTTGGTTGTGGGCACATCCCCAGTAGGTGTGCAGGAGTCAGCTGATCGATGTTTCTCTCCCATCGATGTTTCTAGCTCTCTATCCCTCTCCCTTCCTCTCTGTAAAAAATCAAAAATATATATTTAAAAAATAAAAATGAAAAGCGATATTAAAAAAAAAGTCACTATTAG